CGGGATCGCAACCCTCAGCGCCGCGCCCGCACCTCGCTCAGCCAGTGAGCGGGAACCGGTCTGTATGTGGGATCCGAACCCTCGGCAGAAGCGCCGCCGCGCTCCCAAGCGGCGCACTGTAGCAGTGCGCCACCGGGCTGGCCCCAACAATGATTTACTTTTTTGAATAGACAATATATTCACACAGTTCAAATGTATAAATGTGCTAAGTGAAAAGTGCTCAACTTATTCTTAGCGGCGCACTGTAGCAGTGCGCCACCGGGCTGGCCCCAACAATGATTTACTTTTTTGAATAGATAATATATTCACACAGTTCAAATGTATAAATGTGCTAAGTGAAAAGTGCTCAACTTATTCTTATCTCCCATCCACCCAGTTTTCACAATCCCATCCCATATGTAATCAATATTATATTAATTTCTTAATGGCAAATTACATCATTGTTTATAATTAGTTGCAACCCCTTCCAGTGGGAGCCTTACACATGCCGTCCCTACTGTCAAGAGGCCTGACCATGGGACTTACAGTACCTTTCTCGGCAGAAGATACATTTTTGCGTTGTTGCATTCAGTAGTGGTCATGAGACTTTCTCGGTCAATGAAATGTGGGCAGAAATATTGGTTGGTTCCCACCCATATGGAAGATTTAATAGACAGTTCGTGGTTTGCCATGTTCTTTTCTCTCTGTCATGAAACCTGCAAAATTCCCTCAGGAGATGCTCTACCAGCCTGGGTCTCACAGTGAGGGTGGTGTTGGTCAGAGCTGAAGCCAGTCTATAATCGACATGAAGCATGAACAATAAATAAAATTTTGTTGTGTAACCCCAAATGAGATGTTAAGTCACTTGTTACTGCAGCATAATCTAGCCTATCCTGACAGTTATACTTAAGGATTCTTATAAATATAGATTTCCGTTTTCTTCCTATCTTATGCCAAAAGTAGCTTATTACATAATGTATAGTACTTTATTTATTTTTCTTAGCTCATATCTTGGAGATCTTTCTGTATCAATACGTGACAAGCTTCCTCACTTGTTTTTCTTTTCTACAAATGAATAGTATTCCATTGTACAGATAAACTGTAATTTTTTAAACCAGTCTCCTAATACAGACATGTGGGTTATTTCCAACCTTTTACTGACAATGCTACAATGTATAATCTTGTACATATAGCATTTCATAATTGTGCAAATATATCTGTAGGCTACATCTCTACAAGTGAAATTGCTAGGTAAAAAAGCATATGCAGTTTTAACTTTGATTTAATGTTGCCAAATTCCTCATTGCTAGGGATTATATCAGTATATACTCCTTCCAACGGTGTATGAGACTGCCTCTTTTCTGGATACCTCAGCAATGGAGTACACTATCAGACTTTGGGATTTTTGCCAATCGGATAGATAAATGTCATCCTAGTACAGTTTTAATTTGCATTTCTCTTACCATGAAGGATGCTAAGTATATATTTTCATGGGTTTAAGGAAAAATTCATCTATAATATCTTTTCCCTGATCTGACTTGAATGTCTTTATAAGGGTGCCCTGTTGTGTGTCTGGACTCTACGAGGCGGTGGGTGTCTCATGAGCCCTGTTGATGATGTAACCCTTGCATGGTGGCTAGCCAACCAATCTGTGTCTCCTTAAACTGTCCTGTGAGTATTTTATTGTTTTCTACTCCCTGAGGCCTACCAGCTTGCTTCATTTAGGTCCCCACTGGGTGTCAGTGCCTCTCTCCTATGGCTCCTATAAAATGGCAGTACAATTATTACAGAACAGTGACCAGGAGCTCGCTGGGCACAGTAACTCTGAGCATCCCTGATCCACAGAACCTAGCCCTAGTGCTCTGAAAGCCCCTGCCAGATGAATGAGTGAATGGTCTTCCCAGCCTACATTTCACTATCATCTCCTGTCACTTCCCAAAGGGACCCTTTTTGTTCAGTCACTTGTCTTTTTAGTCAAGCTCTGCAGGAGTCATTAAGTGTCCTCACTAACCCCTGTTCTCCTTTCCTCCCAGGGCATCATGGAGGCCCCACTTCCCAGCCACCTAGCACCACACGCACGTGGGCCCAGCCAATGAGACGTGAGAGGAAGTGAGGCATGGGCTTCAGGCCGGAGGGGTGAAAAGCCTGTAGACTCTTTTCCCTCCACTTCAGTGACCTGCAGCATTCTGGGCAGGACCATCCCTCACCACCTCCCTGCCTGAGTGTAAGAGAAAAATAAAGTTTTAAGTGTTAAGCTGTTGAGGGTTTGGAGTCATTTGCTACTGCAATATCTTACCCATTTGGAAGAATTCAGCACTTCCCAGGCATGATTCTCACTTCCCCAAGGCTATGTGGCATCTCTGAACGACCACAGGCTCTGCGGGCTGTCACACCCCAGTTGCAGGGCAAATTGTAAAGTGCAACTCTGAACTATTCACTTCCTCTTTCTGGATGTCATCTCCCATTTAAAATAATGGGGATATTATTTAAAATAATATCTACCTTCTCGGGGCTTGAATGAAATAATGTATATGAAGGTTTTAGCACTTACAAGGTGTCCAACAAGTGGTAGGTTTTATCATAACTCCTGCCACTGTGATTACGTCTGCACTGAGTCTGTTGTGGGCACCCCTGCCTTGGTCACCCTTCTTTCCCTGTGATCCAGTTCCCTCCTGTCTTCAAAGCCCTGAGCAGGGCCTTTGAGCTATGACATCCGGCCACAAGCGCCACTCCCTTGTGCTAGATTCTGCAGCACTCAGGCATGTGCACAGCTGTTGTCACAGCCAGTCTCTGGGTTGGCATCTCTCTTGCCATGGGAGCCTCACCAGCTTGGGGTGCTCAGCCCTGAAGCTGCTGCTTGCTAGTGAGTTATACATAATTAGTGCTGAGGGGTTGCACAAGTCATCTATTTCAGATTTCAGAAGATTCAAGGCCATCCTTCTAAAAACACCACATATTCTAAAATGTTTTTCTGCTCCTTTCCCCCTCCCCTCCATGTTGCACAAGTCATCTATTTCAGATTTCAGAAGATTCAAGGTCATCCTTCTAAAAACACCACATATTCTAAAATGTTTTTCTGCTCCTTTCCCCCTCCCCTCCACACCATCCCCCCTGTAGCAGAGTCTTGTGGCACCATTGCTGTCTGTCTGTCTGTTTGCATCCTCCAGCAGACTGTGAGCACCTCGAGGGCAGGGTCTACTGACTTTTCCTTAGCATTGCCACAGGGCCTAGCATGCAGGAAGCATGAGATAGATGAGGCCTGTGGAGGCTGATCTCTGAGCCTTGTGTGAGTGATTAAGAAGGAAATCAAGAGGGACCTCTAGCGGGATGGATCAGCAGCGTCCCATGGCAATCAGCAGAGGGCATGTCCCCACTGCAGCCCCCTGGTGAGAGGATGGGTTAGGGGATGTATTGGATCTCTGGTTAATACCCTGGTCTGGCTGCCAGAGCATCCAGAGAACTGCCAGGGGGCATGAAGGTGAACACTGGCCTCGCCATCAATGTGGTTCTTGCAAGATCAATAAAAACCCTCCCAAGTAGTTTTTTTTTTTTTTTTTACCGCAATATTTCCAGCTTGGTGAATAGGTCTCTGGTTACACAGGAGACATGTCTATACTGGCATCGTACCGGGACAGGAGATGCTGTCATGCTGGGGGCCCCTCTGAATGGTGACACTGCTTACTCTCCCTTGGGAAGCTGTGCTGTGGCCATGGTCATTCCTTTCTTTGAGCCAAGAAGGTGCTAGACAGATGGCCCTTACAGGATTATCACCTCTCCTAGAGCTTGGCCATTGGTTCCAGGTACCTAGCAGGCTGAGCTGTCAGTGAAGTCCTTGCCAAAAGCCCTGGTTTGTTCCTTGAGGACAGGCTGGCTATGGCTCTCCTGGTACCTTGTCATTTCCTTGCACCTGCCAACCCATCTGGGCTTAGCCAGATGAAGATTTGCCACTTTAAAGGCTCCCCTGCTAGAAAAGGAGCTGTGATTTGCAGAGAGCCTATTAGGTTTGGTAGGGGCAGATTATGTATATGAAGGTACTTCAAAAACTTCATGAAAAACTAGAATTGAAAAGTGGTATAAATCTTTCCATGTACTTTTTGAAGTACCCTCATACATCACACGGATATATTCAGAAATTCAATTCTTATAACATCACTACAAGATAAATAGTATTGTCTGTTCTATACATGAGGGATTGGGGCTTAAAGGATTAAAGTATCTTCCCCAAGGTCACCCAGCTAATAAATACTGTTACTGTGATTTGAACCTAGGAGTGTCTTGTTCCAAAGCTCTTGCTCTTTCCTGCTCTTCCACGCTGTGGAGATGACATATTGGTGGTATTGTGCTTTGAAAATCAGAACAGGGTATTCTTTGGGAATGTGGCTATTCTATAGTATCTTGTATAGATACAGGACAGCAGCCACCACAACCATTTAAAGAGTCCAGACATGCTGGAGAAAGATTCAGAAATATGCATGATCCCAGAGGAAAACTAGGAGCCTGTGCCGGGCCCACTGAGTACACAGGAGTTTCCTTAATCACAAGAATCACTTCTTTTGACTAGCTAGAGAGGTGGGAGGGGGGCCAGTAACTGCAAAGAAAATAATAGTTATTAGTCAGAAATGACATGAGGGATACGTGGAGGGAGGGAAAGAAGGATGCTAGTTTTAATCATTTTCAAGAATGTCTTCTAATAGGAGTTGCTGGTGTGGAGGAAAGACATGGACTTATTTTGAACAAGTCCCTGAGTCCCAGTCCCCTTATTTTTGAAATGGGGTCATAATATTTAATTTGTTGCGAGGAGTAGGGATAAGTAATGTAAAAGGGCCACCAGTGGGTGTTCTATAAATTGCATGTCTTATTAACTCCTCACACAGTGCCCTAATTCTTACCCGCTCCCCCCAGGGATGGAAAAGGATCATGTGCAGTGATCTGGTTATGAGCAGGTGGTATCCCAAAGAGTCGGATTAGTCTCCCCCGGTCCCCAAAGTTTTCTGTGCCACTTTTTTTAGCACCTCCTCTTTTCATTGGCTATGACTACTCTATGTCTTATTAACTCCTCACACAGTGCCCTAATTCTTACCAGCTCCCCCCAGGGATGGAAAAGGATCATGTGCAGTGATTTGGTTATGAGAAGGTGGTATCCCAAAGAGTCGGATTAGTCTCCCCTGGCCCCCAAAGTTTTCTGTGCCACTTTTTTTAGCACCTCCTCTTTTCATTGGCTATGACTACTCTGTAGAAATAGCTATTGTACTTAATTTATAATGCTAAAAATGTGTGGCTTTTGAGTCCAGCATCTTTGGCTTATTTGCTCTGTAGTGCCTGGAAGCCTGAAACTGTGGCCCCACGGGATGGTTCAGAGCAGGGAAGATTCGCTCAGAGGCAGGGAGTAAATCCAGTATCAGAAAAAGAGGGAGGGTTGGAAGATGGATTTCTGCATCGCTGGGTTGACAAAACCCTCAGGAAACAACACAAACAGTAGGTCTAGACCGGCCTTTGTAATGAGGCAGTCTTGTGAGCTCCCTCCAGTGACAGGTGATAGCTATTGATTAGCTATGTGTGTGTGTATGTGTGTGTGTTTGTGTGTGTGTATCTAATCCACATTAAACAATGTTCTGGAAAGTCAATTTGCCTTACCATGCCTTTTATACTCCTCCCGTCTTCCCCCTTCGATCCAGTCTCCAGGTGAGCATCCCAAACTCACATCTGCTGAGACCATGCTCCCTTGCCTGAGCTTTCAGTAGCTGCCTGGGCTCAAATTCTGATTCTGCTTGTCACTAACTCTAGGATCTTAGGCAAGTTTCCTTTCTCCTTTGGTCTTCAATTCCTCACGTAAAAAATGGGAATATTCATGGTACCTTTGTAATGGGGTCTTCTGGGGATTAATACTCATTGAGCATTTAGAACAAACAGTGCCTGGCACTCAGGAGACCCTCAATAACTGTTAGTGCTCATAACCATGTAGTAATTGAGCTGGGTTACAAATGTCTGCTTGGGCTCTTGAGTTTCCTGAAGACAGACGCTCAGAACATTCATTTTTGTATCCCAGTACTCAGCCCAGATCTGAATACATGAGTGTCTGAGGAATGTTTGCTGCACTGACTGCAATTTAAAGAACACTACAGTGTGCTCAGACCTCTAGCCCTCCAAGGCCACCCAGCACCCAAGCCCCACAGCAGTTGGCCACTGACAGGGGAATTTGTGTTGGAGAGGTGACTACCAGGATGGGCTGGCCCAGGACAGGGAGGGCAGGAAGAGCAGGGTGGAGCTCTGTGGGTGGGGGATGGGAGGCAGGGTGGGAAACCTCTGCTTTAGTCACACCCCCTTGGGAAATGGCAGGAGGGAAGCCTTCACAGCTGCTGGAGCTTCATGCGGCTGTCCTGTGCAGGAGGCAGAGGGACTGCCTTCTCACACTGGGCTTCGTTATGATTGAGTGGGGGCTACAGTGATGTTGACTCTGCTCTTTATTCAGGACCCCAGGGACCTGGTGCTGGCAGGTGCCCCCTAAGTCCACGAGGCCAGAAAGTAACCCTGACTGTCAGGGAACATAACAAGGTGAGACCCAATGACGTCCATATCTGCTTTCTAATTCCACCTCACCTGGGTTTTCACCTTCCTTTCTAATTTGTATTTTACTGGGTCCTACCTTTTTATTTCTTTTTTATGTTTTTGAAATATATTCTTGCATGCTTCTGTTTCTCTAGGCAAATAAAGAACAAAGCAACCAACCAACCTACAAACAAATGAAATATAAAAACTTCCTCCAGGTAGACACTGAACACCTGCCTACTCTTGCATAGTGGATCGATTATACACAAGGGCTTGATCCCAGGAAATGGCAGCAGAAGTCCATTGTGGAAGTCATGGTCACTAGCTCCCAGCCCCCCATTCCCCGCCCACAGCAGCACCTTTGCCACAATGCCACTTCTGCACTTTTATGGGAAATGACTCCATTTCCCGGTGTGCACTGTTGCTGGGCAGCCTCAGCCTCATAAATCAAAGTCTAATTGGGGGTGATGCCAGCTTCTTCCTTACCTTTATTCCTTGGCCAAGGCTTTCCAAGGAATTAATATCCAGCCCTTCCTTGCAGGCCTGCAAGCAGGATATCACCTTCTGGCTTTCCATTTTGCCCGGGCGGATAGTGAGGCTTGCCAGGCTGCCATGGAAGAACTGAGCAAACCGTGGTTTGGAGACTTCTCCTCCTGAAAGAAAAAGAAGCACCATCATCTGCCCTGTGGAGACTGGGTAGGAAACATCTGGCCATGGAGCCAAGGACACATTGACTGTGGGTGCCCCGAACCTGAGGTTTTCCTCCTGAGGAGCACAGTAGCCAGAATCTCAACAACGGGGTGTTATATGCTGCTAATACCCTGGCGTCCCCGGCTGCACAGATTTAGGAATCCTCACATTTCTGAATTTTAAGAGTTACTTTCAGGGACACACTGTCTTAGAAGACAGGAGGGGTCTGCAGAGCAAAAATGGGGGGAGAAGGAAGCTATCACTGATTAAAGGCCTACTGTGTGCCAGTCTCTCAGCCAGGGACTTCATCTGAACAAGCCTGCAAAGAGGGTCTGATTGTTCCCAACTGACAGGCGAAGAGCCCTAGACTCAGAAAGGTTGAGGAACTTGCTCCGGGACACACAGCTAAACACAAGCTGGAGCTCCAGTCCCGGTCTTCCCGACTTCGCAGCTGGCATTTGCTTCCCTCCATTCCACTGAGAGCTTGGCTGCAGCTGAGCGGTCCTAGAGACAATACCTCTGTGGGCTTTGCCATTCTTGCAATGTGCTGATCTCATCCCTGCTCAAATTCAAGGCCTTCGGCATGTAAAGCCTTCCCTGATTCTGTTCATCATCTGACCATCCTCTCACGGCCCACTTCCTGTTCTCTACCATCTCTCTACCAGCTGTGCTGAGTCCTATCTGAGCTCAGGTCCACTTTCACCCACGTGCAAGTGTTCAGTGTGGCCCGTGGTGCAGAGTCAGCCTGGAACCCCTCCCCCTGCCATTTTCTCCCTGGTTTTCCAATCAGGCCTCTCCTGAGGTCCACTTGAAGACTCCTCCAGGAAGCCTTCCCTGCTGACTTTACTGATCATAGGCCTCTTTCATCTCTGGGCAACCTACATAGATAGACCTAGCCTGGATCCCGCACAGCTGTTTGTTCAGAGAGGAGGCGGAATGCATGGGAAAGATGGACCTGGGTTGAATTCCAGCTTTGCTAGTTCCCTGAGAAGTTTTCATAAGCTCTCTGAGCCTTGCTTGTAGGATGCACTGTGGGGTTTTGCCTCCTGGTTCTCCTGGGCTTTCTCAGTGGTTCCCGTGGCTCCCCCAGTGTCTGGCTCCTGCCAGGGTGGCTGACAGCCTCCCCAGCACTCCACGCTGCCAGCAGTTTGGTAGCAGAGTGTGCTCCAGTAAGCAACCTCCCTGCGATGGGCTTCCTCAGCTCCCTACAGGGCAGATTTCCAACAAGCAACACCTTGATGACTTCTCTGCCATTTGATGAGCCACGCCGTGCCAACAAAGTCTACACCTTGGCTTGGGGAGGGCAGGTGTTCCCCCAGGTGTTTCATCTTAGCCCTGGAGGTAGTGCATGCTCCTTTTACATGCCACCCCTGTATTCTTTAGACTCTCTTGACTGCTCATTCACTAATCCCTTGGTACTCCAGTCCCCTATTATAGGCAGTTTTTTATGTTTTCCTGTTGAAATTACTGTGTGGTCTCTTTCCTGACTGGATCCAGACTGATACACCTTCTGTGTCTGCCCACATACCTTTGCTTACACCCATTCCTCCTCGCACTGAGACATCACCCCCGAATTACTCAGATTAGGCAAAGATCACAGTTCTTTAGGCTCCATAAGCCCCCTGTCCCCTGCTCATGGAAACCTTCCATAAGCCCCCAGCCACCATGCCCTCTCCCTGCCCTGAGCCTCAGAACACCGACAGCTCATTTTAACATACTCCTGACCACCTGGCATTGTTAGCTAATAATTTACACATCCTCCATAGCCTAAAATGGTGGTTCTTAACCTTGGCCACACATTCTAATCATCTGGGGATCTTTAAAAAGACAAACTGATGCTTGGTGCTGGGTCTTGCCCCAGGGATTCTGATTTAATTGAGGTGGGGAATTTTGAAAACTTCTTAGGTGAATCCAATGTGAAGTCAAGGCTAAGGGCCACTGGGCCATAAGCATCTTGGGGCTGGGCCTTGTCACACTCCTTATGTGACCTCTACATATGCTGCTGACAGGCTTACTCATGCCGCCCTCCACACACTGCTGTAATGCATTAGTTCAAGTCTTTCTCCTGGATAGAAGGGATCACTCATGCATTATTTACGTTAGTGAAGACAATTCTGAGCGAGTATTAGGGGCTGAACGCTGTGCCAGGCCTTTTGCGTAAGTCAGCTCATTTATTCCTCTCAACAACACTGGGCTTCTGTGTCCTCTGGCATCCTGCACCCTGCCTGGCACACAGCAGACACTTTATAATTGGCTACTGAATTGGAGGAGATGGTGAGTTGAACACCAGCAGAGTAATGGGCACTGTGGCTGTCTCTCCAACAACTGTCTCATGCCTTCGCTCTTGCAAAGGCAGCCCTGAGGTTTGGGGGGGTTGACTCCAGCTCCAGGAATGCACTTTGTTTAATTTAAGATAATTTAAGAAACTGTCATCCCTACTGCTTCAGCAATTGAATCAGAGATGGGCCTGGGACCCAGTACCAAGATGAAGCCAATCAGCACCTTGGCATTAGGGGGTTGACTCCAGCTCCAGGAATGCACTTTGTTTAATTTAAGATAATTTAAGAAACTGTCATCCCTACTGCTTCAGCGATTGAATCAGAGATGGGCCTGGGACCCAGTACCAAGATGAAGCCAATCAGCACCTTGGCATTCAGTAAGCCACAGGGATTGACCCAGGAATAACCAAGAGACCAATTTAAGCCAGTATCATGAGAAATGTTGATGGGAAATTTATGCAAAAAATGCCTCCATTTTCTTTCCAGAAAGTTTTCAACCAACTCTTGCTCTCTTTCCCTGGGGATGGTTAAGAGGAGATGGAAGGCCACGGGCTGTTGCAGCCAGCTCACCAGCACACAGGGACAACGAAGGCAGAGCCCAGAGGAGGCCGAGCCAGGAGAGCCACTGCAGGCTGAGTGAGTCCCGAGCAGACCCCCTCACCGCCCTGCCTCGGAACGTCTCATCTGTGAGCCACTGATCCACCTCTATGGTTAAAGCCATTTTCACTCATGGTGTTACTTGCCACCCAGAGCATCTTTACTTTAGAAATGAAAGAAGTCTCTTTTGAAGTGCTCAGTTCACATGGAACTCTAAACAGATTTGGTTCAAGGAATGACCTTAAATAGCCCATGGCTATAGGGAAGCCAATTTGGGGCCTTCTGATCTAGATCCTCCAACCTCCATGGATAAAGTGCTCTTCCAAGCCATTAGCATGTTCCTGCCCTAGCAAAAGAATATCTTCCTGGACCTGCAGGAAGGAGCGTGTGAGCCTGGGCATGAATGGTGGAGCTGCTACTCTCCATGGCACCCAGATGGTCATCTCTTCCCTCCCTTGTCTTCCTGTTTGGAGCAGCAGAGCCAACAACTCTCATTTACTGGGCATGAAATACATCCCCAACATGACGCGAAGTCCTCAATGTACATCACTTCATTGAGTCTTCATAAAATGCCTGGAAGATATGGGTATTCATTCTGTAGTTACAGGTGAGCAAACTTAGGCTTAGACAGAAGTGAGGGGCCTAAGGCCACACCAGTAAGTGTGCTGCAGTGTGTCCTCAGTGTGCGCACATCCGTCCACGCACAGGACCACCCAGGGTGTCCTGCTGGTGCCGGTCAGCCCAGTTCAGACGAGGCTGGGAGGAGGCCCATCGTGATCCATCGTCCAGCCCTCCTCAACTTCTCACTCAGCAGCTGCATCCTCAAAGGCCACACTTTGTGACTCTCTCCGATGCTAGGACAGTGTCCTACATACTATTTTCTCTCAGCAAAACACATTTATGTTCTATATTTTTAACTCATAAATCCCAGATCTCTGATGTACTCTATTTACTAGTGTGAAGCTCCAGGAAATCGATTCAATTAGCATTTTTCAATAGGAGGTCAGCATGAAGTTTGAGATATATTTACACTTGGGGAAGCTGTGATACAGGATTTTAAAAAATAATAGATACATTGAAAATCTCTCTTTTTAATATGTAGGGTGTCTGCATAGACCACATGGCTCCTCTGTTAATATTCAGACATAAGAATGGTTGTGAATCATATTAAGAAAAAAAAACATAACCCAGTTTCTTCCACAGAGAACCTTCTTTAAATGTTTGCAAACATNTGGCTGTCTCTCCAACAACTGTCTCATGCCTTCGCTCTTGCAAAGGCAGCCCTGAGGTTTGGAGGGGGTTGACTCCAGCTCCAGGAATGCACTTTGTTTAATTTAAGATAATTTAAGAAACTGTCATCCCTACTGCTTCAGCGATTGAATCAGAGATGGGCCTGGGACCCAGTACCAAGATGAAGCCAATCAGCACCTTGGCATTCAGTAAGCCACAGGGATTGACCCAGGAATAACCAAGAGACCAATTTAAGCCAGTATCATGAGAAATGTTGATGGGAAATTTATGCAAAAAATGCCTCCATTTTCTTTCCAGAAAGTTTTCAACCAACTCTTGCTCTCTTTCCCTGGGGATGGTTAAGAGGAGATGGAAGGCCACGGGCTGTTGCAGCCAGCTCACCAGCACACAGGGACAACGAAGGCAGAGCCCAGAGGAGGCCGAGCCAGGAGAGCCACTGCAGGCTGAGTGAGTCCCGAGCAGACCCCCTCACCGCCCTGCCTCGGAACGTCTCATCTGTGAGCCACTGATCCACCTCTATGGTTAAAGCCATTTTCACTCATGGTGTTACTTGCCACCCAGAGCATCTTTACTTTAGAAATGAAAGAAGTCTCTTTTGAAGTTCTCAGTTCACATGGAACTCTAAACAGATTTGGTTCAAGGAATGACCTTAAATAGCCCATGGCTATAGGGAAGCCAATTTGGGGCCTTCTGATCTAGATCCTCCAACCTCCATGGATAAAGTGCTCTTCCAAGCCATTAGCATGTTCCTGCCCTAGCAAAAGAATATCTTCCTGGACCTGCAGGAAGGAGCGTGTGAGCCTGGGCATGAATGGTGGAGCTGCTACTCTCCATGG